TTGTGCAAGACCATCAGGGTGATCGAAAAACGACTCAATGCATGAATACTCATACAATTAGCGCATATACATGGACCAAACACCTTTAAAGTTTCTTCTACATCCATATACAATCCATGTCCCCAGAAATAGCCTCCCGCAACACATTTTTACATTCATCGGAAGCAAGGTGTAACCTCTTAATATGAGATATCAAGCGAGAAATCCCCTTAGACCCCACCTGAGCATCCGGGCAACAATGAAATCCCCCGAAAAGGACATGGCCAAGTACCGATCGAAGAAGTAGAAGAAGAAACCATGAAAATAAAAGGTAAGCAAATTAAGCCTCGAGTTGAAGCCCTAAAGAAGATGCCAAAACCCTAAGATGGAAACACCGCAACCAAAAGTTGGCGTGCACCAAATGAAGAAATCACCGGGAAGAACGCTACATTTCCTTGAAAGCAATGGCGATGGGTTCACTATCAATCTTGATTCTAAATCCAGGGGATAAATAGCCTTAAAGAACTTTGTACAATAAAAAAACATGGTTTTGTGTGAGACGTAAAATAAAAAAGCTTGAATAAAGTTAAAAATATGGTTGTAGTATTTGAAAATTTCACTTTGGCATTTTATCAAACACTTGGTAGGCAGTGAAGTTGGCATCTGATTTCAACTTGTAGGAGGCTTGCTTGAAACCCATCATTTGCAAACTATAAACAATAAACTCATTTGTTGATACAAACGAATTCAATTGAGACCATTGATGAACTTGAAATCCAAAATGTTGGTGATCGATGATGAAGTATATTGAACTGATGTACAATATTCACATCAAAAAATGTTCATGAGGATTAAATCGAGTCATTATCCATTATTCACCGTTGTTCGAACACTGATCTTCGTAAATCGTAACAACTTTCTTTGATTTCTTCAATTTCTATGCATTACAATGTAAAAAAATGGCCTGATAATGTCGTAAAATTTTGTAAATTATATAAATTTGTTTTTTGAGGGTATTTTTGTCATTATGAATTAATTTCATTCCATTCATCCATCTAATATTACTTACCGAATAAAATTGGTTAATGATTCATTCCATTCTAACAAAGTAATCAAACATGTCAATGGAATGATAATGAGATATTCCATTACCTTGTCCATTCCATTACCTAATCCATTACATTCCTTTGTCATTCCATTCTACCTTACCAAACATACCCTTAGTGTTGAGATATAATCCAACCCAATGGAGTTATTGTTGTAATGAAGCTAACAACATCATTATTATCATAGTAAAGCTTTAGTAACCTTGAAATGTTGTCAATAATTCTTAGTCCATTTATTAAGTTACGAAATCAACATAAGATGACACGCAACATGAAATCATGTCGCATGTTTGACCATCATAGTCGAGGTAGTGGTAAGGCCCCAAGGTATATCTCAAACTATATAGTGTGGGTAGGTAACTTAGCAAAGAACCCCACCCAAGAACACCACACCCTAGGTGCAGTTTAGGTGAAGGGTTTACCTGCACAAGGTAGCTTCCCCTAACTTTCTCTCCTCAAATTAGCCAACAACTTTTCTCCTTTTTTCCTTTTTTTTCTTTTTCAATTTTTATAATATATATATATATATATATATATATATATTATAAAAATATATTAAAGTTTATGTTTTTTGTTTCTCTACAAAAAGAATATAATATATATATATATATATATATATATATAATAAAAAATAAGAACAAGTGAAAGATGACAATCTCCTGTGTTTTGAAGAGTGAAAGGAGAGCCAGGGACAAATGAGATATCATAGAAAAAGTGAAATGTTAAAGGAGGGTATACCTTCCGGTCTAAGCTCTTCATAATGACTCATTTAAGATATAAGTCCACCTAAAACATGAATATGTATCCCAAAGTTAGTCATTCTTGCATTTAGCAAAAGTTTGAGTCTATGAATATCCCTCGACCTTAGGAAGTTTCAGTCTTCTATAAGTGAGCATGTATTTCTTTGTTATTTGTAAGTAATGTAACAACTTTTCAGATGATTTTCAATGGTCTAATATTAATAATGACCAAGCATATCGCTGATGTTCACAATGTGAGGTCGATTGCATACTTAAGCATACATAAAAAATCCCAAATAATACCAAATCATATGGACTAAGCTTTATTTGTTCATGTTCTGCCTTCAATTTGGGGCATTAATAAGAGCTAGATCTGTCACGAACCAACGTTTCAAAGATTTTCAACTGTTTTTGGGAGCTTGACCTTAGACTTGGATCGGAGCTAAAGTCCATAGTCTTCAAAGGGTTGACTTTTGATTTAACACACCGACTTTTCAATCTTAGTATACTATTTTGATGTGTATTCAGATTACGAGCAATACCGAGGGATTGAAGTTTAACTCGTAAGGATATTTTGAATGCCATTAGTATGTGATGGTTACTTATTATACCTTTGGTGTGTACAAATATTGTCTTGCACACTTTTTATGACATGGACTATTCTAAATATGATATTTTAAGCAATGAAACTGTTTGTAAGTGAAACTATTGATTTTGTCATCTGAAAATATAATTGTTAAAAGAATCTGAGTGTCCAAACAATTCAAACACAATTGTTGATTTCATTATTAGCCAATATTATTGGCCTAACGAATGAGTCATAACGACAAGATACGAATTCGACGAACCATGTGGAGCACTTCAAGTGTCACATATCAAGGACACCTATATTGATACATTTTAAGACCTAAAATCTTATCATTTTTTGCGTCATTCAGATTTATTATATCCCGTTTAAGGGAAGTCTGACTTACTAGATTGTAACGCGGTCGAAGCTTTGTTGTTCCCGATGTTTGCAAACATTAGTTTGTCAAAGTGGTCAGATGGCAATGCTTCTTCATCATAAACTTTGTGAACACTTCATGTGGATCTTCGTAATGCATTGTCTACCCCAATATTAGCTTTATTCGGATCCAAAACTTGTTAAAGTGTCTTGGATGCACTCACCACGTGATTTTTCAATGTGGTATTTCCTTTGGGGTTAAAAAACTTATCTTATGTTTTGCATTGAATCCTTCTTTCGTCGGTGTTTATGTTGCACAAAGAGAAGTTGACCTAGATAGCCGAGTTTCGAGTATAGCCGACAATAGCGAAGTCATCTTCATTAGCAAGTTTTTTTTCAAGGTACCGACATATACCTGTAAGGATGCTTTTTTATACTGAAAATTAAAAAGAAATGAAGAATTGAGAATACAAAAATTTGAAGATAATCATGATTACAAGATCCGATCTTTCAATTTTCATTCAAACCAATCCTAAACCAACGATTAAGGTTATTTCATAATCCGATTATCCGAATCCGTATTGGAATCCGAATATAATATATCTGATTTTATTTATTTATTATTATTATTATTATTATTTTTAGAGTAAATTACACGAATCGTCCCTCATGCATATGTCAAATAACACGTTCAGTCCCTATTTTCAAAAATTAACTCGGATCGTCCCTCGTTTGGTTAAAAGTTACACGTTTCGTCCCTTGTTAGCTTAAATTTACACGCTTAGTCCCTTACGAGACATGAAATGACTACAATGCCCTTTTCAATTTTATTTTTCATTTATTTTTAACATTTCTGATTAAAACAAAATAAAAAAAGAATAAAATAAAAAAACCCACCCCGTACTATCCACATTTCTTCTCGTCTCTTTCTCCCTCTTCAACTGCTCACCCACCTCAATTTTTCACAAATTCATCTGGGATGCTTAACAGATACCACCAGATCATCCAAGAATGATCTCCTTTAACACATTTCTACAACTACTTCTATCGACATTTTTGTTTTCTTTTGCAATCACCTACGACATAAAATCCAGAGGAGATGTCGGCGTACATTGCCTGCTTCAATTTCCTCCCAGATGGTAATCTTTGTCTCAGATCATCTGGCTCCGTCATCTGGCAGTCTAATACAGTCGGTCGTGGTGTCATAGTAGGTGGACTTGACGACGATTAGGTAACTTTGTTTTCCACCACTGCCACTAAAACAACCTCCATTGAAAATCCACACACACAGAGATTTACCTTCGCCACACTCCACCCCCGCTTTCAAACTATCTAGGAAAAACCAAAAGCCTAAATCTACTCAGAATTAGGGCAAAATTAGTTTGGTTAAATCCAAACCCCAAAATCATTTTGCTCAAATCTATTGAGAAAAAACACAGCCCTCAACCAGAGTTTGAATCTAGGTTTACTGTGGATGATTATTTCGAACGTAGAAAAGAGAAATTGAATCCCCTATCGGAAATCAAAACATAGCCCCTCACATATTTCGCAAAATTAACTGATATCGGAGGGATTGAGAACAAAGGCGATGTCGACTTTAGAGTTGCAGGTTTCCGGCAACGCTGACGACTCCAACGAGGCTTGATGTGTAGATCGATGGGTTTAAGGCTGAGTTTAAAGGAGAGATCAGTGGCTTCAGGTCGGCAAGGTAATCATCACTACGACCTCCTTGTTATCATCTTTCTCGTTGGTCTCATCTTCATGCCCACAATTTTTGTTTAACGAGAGAGCTGGGGGAACAAAAGTAATCAGGGGGCAAGGGAAGGGTTGACGTCTGAGGATGAAGTGGAGATCTTAATTTATTTTATATTTCTTTTTTGTTTAATTTAAAGTTGATAAACAAATAAAAGAAAATTAAAAAATAATGTATCAAGGGCAAAATAGTCTTTTTGTATCCGGAGGGATGAAGCGTGCAAAGTTACATAAAACGAGGGACGGTCCGAGTTAATTTTTGAAAATAGGGACTGAACGTGTCATTTGACGCATATATGAGGGACGATTCGTGTAATTTACTCTTTTTTTTAAGTTAAGAATTACACATCTACACCATCATATGGACTAGTATGGAGTATGGAACCTCTATTGGGGAAATGGGCTTAATCATTACCCAAGCCCATACAGATTTTAGGAGTATCCCGATCATTCTGGAAGACTGGAAAAGTAACAAAGTTATTCTATATTTGTACGAGTGTATCCATTTCTAATCCTCATATACTGTCTTTTATCTCTGCTCGATTCCAGCTTCATTACCATTTCACTTGTCGTTTTTGTTAGTATTGCTTTAATTTCTGATCAATAACAACATGGCGAACGATTCATCTCTTGATCTGGAGGAACTTCGACACCTTCAAAGCATTGCGAAGAGGCCACGCGTTGTTTCTCTCATTTCCTCCGAGATTCGCAACCTCGAAAAGGTATAATTCCTGTCATAGTAACGATAAGTTTGTATGATTCTGTGATTTTGTTTTTGATACTCTTGCGATTCATAACTGTGATACGATTGTTAGTGGCCTATGACCCTTCATATAGATATCATTTCGTTTCATTCAATGATTTAGACAGGGTTTACGTATGATGTTTGTCAAAATTAGATATTATTGAAGCTTGTAATGTGAGGAATATTACTCGTTTCGAGACTTAGAACTAATCGCTAGATTGAGACCAGATATCAATATAATAAACCATATTTATTGCAAAGCTCATGGATATGATTCAGTTTTGGCGTCCATTGTTACTACGTAATTCCTTGGGTTGTAATGAGTCGCTAGATTAGTTAGAACAGAGTTTGCAATCAATGGAAGTGCATAGTTTTGAGCCTTCGTGAGCTGGTTTCTACTTTGGTCGAATGTTCTTATAGTTTCTTTCTGGTTTTAGTTTGTATTTGACTTCAAAACTTTTTTCCTTTTTTTTTCTTTCTAACTGTGATGCAAGTAATTTCAAAGGGTTTGAACTACTTTCACAGTCATGTTTATGTGTTACATTTGCTTTTATACAGAGCAGGTTTAGTGCACATTTTTACTAGTTTCATTTATTTATTATTTCTTTAAAAAATAACAATCATGTATCTTTTAAACTTGTGCAGCAATTAAATGATGCTGCTTTAGTTGCACCCACTCCAACACCAATTTCAACAAATCTAAAGAAGGCTTCTGAACCTGCATTAAAGTACACTACTCTTGGATCTTTCAGTTGGGATCAAGATACTGATAAAGTCAAGGTGAGTTTATAAATTATATTATGTGAGTTTATAAAATATAATATAAACATTATATTTTCCCCCCCAGATTTATGTGTTTTTGGAGGGAGTTGATCAAGAAAAAGTTGACACTGAGTTCAATCGCATGTCAGTTGATGTGAAATTTCATGATGTGAATGGAAAAAACTATCGATGTGCTATACCAAAATTAAACAAGGAGATTGTACCTGAGAAATGTAAGGTTTTGGTTAAACCGACGAAAGTCATCATCACATTGATCAAAGCTTCAAAGGGTAATTGGATGGATTTGCATTTCAAGGACGATAAGGTAATTTCACTTTTGTAGTGTTTGGTATCCAGTAGTCATAAATGCAAAGAAGTGTATTAGTGTAATGTAATGATGTTTTTTTTTTATTGAAATTCAGATTAAGCCGAGTTTGGACAAGGAGCGAGATCCCATGGCAGGAATTATGGACTTAATGAAGGTATCTCATTAAATATTTTTAACTTACTCTAATTTCTGATTAATAGGATGAGGAGGGCATTTACGTCTTTTTCTATAGATGAATAGATGAGACGGATCATGAACAAGTTCTTGTCTGATTCTGTTCTGTTTTGTGTAGAATATGTATGAGGAAGGGGATGATGAGATGAAGAAGACGATTGCGAAAGCATGGACTGATGCTAGGTCTGGCAAGGCAGCGGATCCTATGAAAAGCTTTTGATGAGTCATGAGTTGTTTAAAAGAAATTTAGAGGGATTTGGTTGGTTTCGTTAAAGGTGTGGTTGTGTTTTTGGAACATATTCCTGCAACCAAAGTTATTATTAGTATATTATTATTTTGCGTTTTTAATTAAGGAATGGGGAATGGTTGTGGTTTGGGCCAAACTTTAGAGCATAATTAAGGTTTTACTAAGCACGAACTAAGTTTATAAAATATGATATCAAGTTCTACTTGAAAGATACCTATCAAAATCAAATGAATAGAGTTTTGCAAGTCAAACCCGAGTGTAATAAAATGCTTGGAAACAGTTTGACGATGGCCCCTCCATCAATCAACATGAGGTTTTTTTTTTAATATAATTTTGCTTTACATTTGGAGATAACAAAAAAATAAAATATTTGTAAAGCAAACTATTCATGCATCGCATAAGAAAAGTCTTTGCACAGATTTGTTTATGCACGACTCTTATAAAAAGGTTCATGATTTTGTAGTGTTTGATAATTTCTGTTTATATATTAAAAAAAAATAGAGTAAAATAGTAAATTGGTATGTATGTTGGTTGTCAATAAACAAGGTAATACACATGTTTTTAAGGTTAAAACAATAGTAAAATGTACAATTGTTATATATTTGAATGATCAATGATCTTTATTTATTTGTTGTGAACGATATGACATGTCATTCTAAAGTTGAAGCTTTTGAGATTCGAACTCAAGACTCGTTTCATTTTGAAGTGTTTAAATTCCAAGTGATCACCACTAGGTTACTTTGATGGTGATTGATTATGTTTTAACTAGGTATATTTTTCAAATATAATATTATAATAAAAATAAATTTATGTTATAATAACAAATAAATAGAAGTATATTGCTATTTCTTTCATCACTAAAAACATGAGAAACATACCCGACTTAGTCTAACAACACACAAACATAAGCAAAGGAGAATGACACAAACCACGTGAAAACTGTTTTTTTTGGGAATGTAAGGGTAAATTCGTCATTTATTCTTGTTCATAGTCTAAAAAAGAAACAAATCTTCATTATACCACTAGTGTCCCAACACAAGAATATTCTAGGAATAAAAAACAATCAATTGTGCAAAAAAAAAGGGTTCAACAATTAACACACACACACACACACACACTTGCAAGAATTGAAGCAAAAGAATGATACATCTGTGACCTGTCACTGGAGTATCTGACTCCCATAATCAGAGTTGAATCGATCATAACGAGGAGCATGTAAATGAGCAGAAGGCCGTGTGTTCTTCAACGCATTTTCAACATCTTCGTGTTTAATGGGCCCCACCTTCGGCAACTCTGCAAATAAAACTTTCTTTTAAAATCCATATCTAATAAAAAAAACAGAAAAAAAAAAAAAAAACCGAAACTAGGATGCTATTTTTACCATCATCAGGCAAAATATCATGTTGTTCAAGAATAGCCATTACACGTCTCAAAGGTTGCATGGCAGCTTCTTTACATAGCAACCGAATATCAGAGCCCGAATAGCCTTCTGTTTTTTCCACCAATAAATCATATGGCAATGTCTCTTCTTCAGCTACAGAAGGCAATAATTCCTCAAACATTGCTTTCCTTGCTTCAGCCTCAGGAAGAGGTACAAGGATCTTGCATAATATAGTTAAAGAAACAGCACTAAATAGCAACGTACTTTTGTTGATTTATATTATATAGAGTAAATTACACGAGTGGTCCCTATGATTTGGGGTAATTTGCGCATTTGGTCCCTAACTTTATTTTTTAACTCGGAAGGTCCCTACTGTTTGTTTTTGTTGCGCGCTTGGTCCTTGTCTTACATAAAAAGACTATTTTGCCATTGATTTTTTAATTTATTTAAATAAACACACCCCCAACCCCAACCCCACCCCCACCTCACCTTATCTTACCTAAAAAGACTTTTAATTTATTTAAATAAGGGCATAATAGTCCTTTTAGGTAAGACTGGGACCAAGCTTGTAACAAAAACAAATAGTAGGGACCTTCCGAGTTAAAAAAAACAAGTTAGGGACCAAACACGCAAATTACCCCAAACTATAGGGACCATTCGTGTAATTGACTCTATTATATATAGCATCCTACTTTCATTTCTCCCTTTGTATAAAATCTATAATTATAGCAACTAGAGTAATATTATTATTATTATTACCCCCGTTTTGCAGGGGGTTAAACTTGCCGACATATGAGAGTCTAGGAAGCAAACCTGCAAATATGCCAATATACAAAAAATGTCGGTGTTCAAATTTGAGAGGGTAAAATGATATTTTACAAAGTAGAGGGGTGGAAAGTGCCGTTCTACAAAGTAAGAAAGTGGAAAGTGGCAACATACAAAAGTCTAGGGACCAAATCTGTCAACATAAGAAAGTTTTGTGGACAAAGTCTAAAATAAGAAACTTTTATGGCCAAAATATGAAAGTCTAGGGACCAAATCTGTAAAGATATATAAGTGCATTAGCATTATGAGTAAAAAGTAGGGGGTATATTGTTTATGAAGGTAAAAACTAAAAAAGAGTAAAGTATGTTGTTATTTTTTTCAATTTAGGATACTCTTTTCTCAAGACGCCTAAGCATGGCTGCATCAAGTTCCCAAGGGAGATTTGTAGCTGCTAATACAAACACAAGCTCATCTGTTTTTGTTAAACCATCCATCTGCAATCAAAACCAAATATTCAAATTTCAAATTTCAGAATAAAGTAATTTAAAAAAAAAAATATGTGAGAGACTAATTTAACCTGAATAAGTAACTCGGTTTTGAGGCGTCTACTTGATTCATGCTCACTTCTTGATTCACCACGTTGACTAATAATCGCATCAATTTCATCAAGGAAAATAGTTGATGGAGCATGATGTCTTGCAAGTTCAAATAACACTTTCACTAACTTCTCAGAGTCCCCTGTTATTTCATACATGTTTACAAAATCACAAAATGCAAGAAATAACAACCTACTTTTAATTATTTGTTACCTATTCATAACTTTTTCTTATTAAGACATTGAACTTTGATAAGTTCTTTCAGTTTTTGTCTTATTAGGACATTATAGTAATTTTCAAAGTAGAATGTTGTAATATGAAGAAATGAAAGTAGGATGCTATAATGAATATATTCATTAAACTATTATTTAATAAAGACATACCACGCCATTTGCTGACAATTGATGATGCTGAAATGTTGAAAAATGTAGTATTGCATTCGGTTGCAACAGCCTTTGCAAGCATTGTCTGGAGAAACATAGTTATTAATTTAAATCAGCTCAAAGTTCAATGCATATGCAACTCTTGTTAACTTTTTAAACTAAAAGGGAATTAAGGAATTAAGATTGAAAGAAAAAAAAAAAGTTAAAAAAGAAAAAAAAAAGTTGCAAACCTTTCCTGTTCCTGGAGGGCCAAACAAGAGAATGCCTTTCCATGGAGACAAAAGACCAGTGAAGTACCTACAAAAAAGACTCTCTCATTCAAACACTTTTTACAAATTTGCCCTTGTTTATTTTTCCTTACATTTTATTTATGAGAGATTTTTTATGAATCATTTATCCAGACAACACTTACTTGGGATATTTTATTGGCATAACAACTGCTTCTTTAAGCAGGCGTTTTGCATTGTCTAACCCCTTTATGCTATCCCACTTCACGTTTGGACTACCTCGAATAATATCCCTGAATAAAAAAACATATAAGGAAATTCATGTTCACTAATTTGAAAAATAAACTAATAAAAGTAAAAAGGCATCAAAAATTGAGTTTATTATTATTACCTACTTAAACTCTCTGCCAAAGTTCGCATTTCTGCTGATTCAAAAGCAGGAAGCAGAGATTTTTTCCTGCAAAAACAAGAAATCAAGTTTATGTTCATTTCTAATTTTTTATCATAAAAAAATATGCAACTAACTCTATTAATATTTTATAATAACTTTCCATTGTTATATAATACAAAAGTATCTAGAAATGGGAGGGAGAGCATACGGTTTCTCAGCATCCAGTAATGTAGCTCCATTGGCTGTTGAATTCTCTCTTTCCTGTGAAAAACCAGAACTCAAAACAAAAACCAAACAATTCATTCATTATTTGTTGTTTCTTTTCTGACTTAATGGGCTTAATGGGGACATGACTTAATGTAGTAAGCTATATACAAGTGTTTCTTTTTGAATCAATACAAAAAGAATGAGTGATGACTCAATAGAAAAAGTCACAAAAGGAAGCTTTTCCATTAAGTTTTACAAATTTGCCCTCTAGCTCACCTGTCTATACTGTTCATAGATTGACAATTCAGCTGTGCTCTTTGGATGTCCATTTCCATTTGATGAGTTTCCATTACTTGAAGGTTGACCATTTGCAGCAGCATCTTTTGGCGTTGATTCCTTTTTCCTCCCAAACTTAATATCATAAAACATCTTAAAATCCTAGATATAGAAGAAACAGAATTATAGTAATATAATTGCATTATCGTTAGTTAACTTCAATCTTTCTCAAATCAATCAATCTGCAAGTATAAATCGTCAACTTCTAATAGTCCGACTATAATAAGGTTCATAAATCTGATGATCGCTGTTTTCAAAGAGAATGTTGAATTAAATAATTTCAGTCCTAAACCCTAGTCACACAAATTCGAGCGAGATTCAAATTATTGAGCAATGATTATACAGCTATGCATGATCCATGACGAGAATAATATACTAATTTTAGCATTTTTTAGTAGCAAATGCGTTTCCTCTTCAGTAAAATCCTACCAATCAGCTACAATTCTCATGCGTTCGATTTGACTAAATTTCATAACCTACAAAATGATTGAATACGAGTACCGATTTGCGGAACCAATCACAGGCCAAAATAAGAAATTCAGCATACCTGGAAGGACCAACGAGTGATTGAAGGTTCATCGGCCATTTTTCTTTCTCTTGTTTGTGATGAAATCCAACACAAAAAGAGAGAAGAGATCTGAAGACGTTTGTTGCTCTGCCTGTTGTCTCGGTGCTTAGCCTGATTCGATTTTCATGAATAAAGAAATGAGTAAGAGTTGTTGAGTGTAAGCAGAAGATAGTTGGAGAGCTGTCGAGTCAATAAACAAGGGGGAGATAAAGGGATCTTTGATTATACAACGTGTGGGTGAATCACTTGCGTCAGTGTACCCCCTTGGCTCATGTAGTCATGTGCCTAGCGGAGATGCCCATTTGGCCACTCTAACAATGGAATTCTTTGGACATGGAAATATCTAGATCTAAAGATGCACATTGCTCTAAGGGACAAGTCTAGGAATGATTAGGTAGTCTCTAAACAGTCTGGTCTTAAAAAATCGGTTTCAAAACAGTTCGGTTTTTTTTTTTCTGATGGTTTTTGTTCGGTTTTTTTTCGGTCTCGGTCTCATAACCTTTGTGTACATTTTCTCGGTTTGGTTTCTGTACTTTTCAGTTTCTTGGTTATGGTTTCAAGTTTTTCCGTTAACAGATATGTAACAACAAAATGACACATTAAGATACAATTAAAAAAGATACATTAAAATTTAATAAAAGAAATAAAACAAAAAGTTGGGTAATGTATGATTGTAATTTTGACTTCTAGTCTTTCTTAAATCGTTCCTAAAACGGTCCGGTCTTTTTTTGGACCAATTTCAGAGCATTCTGTTTTTTTCGGTCTGATCTTGTTTTACACTGTTTCGGTTTCAGTCTTTATTTAAGACTGTTACGAAATAGATTTTTTGTTCATGGCTCTTATCTTAAAATGCCTGTTTCAGAACAATCTGATCTTTTCTTCCTGATGGTTTCAGTCCGGTCTTTTTCGGTTTCGATATCACAGCCGTTGTGTACATTTTCTCGGGTTGGTTTTATACTTTCCGATGTGTTGGTTATGGTTTCGAGTTTTTCCATTAACAAATATGTAAATAATAGCAAAATGACATATTAAGATATAATTAAAAAAGATACATTAAAATTTAATAAAACAAAAAAACAAAATTTTGGGTAATGTGTGATTATAACTTTGATTTCCAGTCTTTTTTAAATCGGTCTCGAAAATCTAAACGGTCCGTTCTTTTTTGGGACCAGTTTCAGTGTGTTTTTTCAGTTTGATATTGTTTTAGACTAGTTCAGTTTCCGTCTTTTTTTTTTTCTTTTTTTTAAGACTATTACAAAATCGATTTTTAGTTCATGTCTATCCGAATCAAACTTGGTGCATCAACTCTTTTTAGCATCTAAAATTAGTTAGACGCGAAACCCATGGCCCAAGACTATAAATCGGTGTTGGATAAACAAGGAATCCATGTAATTTAAGGCCAGGGCCCATGGGTGTTTCACTGTTTGGACCTACCTTTTTGAAATGATATACATACTGTATTGGATAAGCAAAATTAGATGACCAATTTTTTATAAACCATGATCTATAAAATTGTGTTAGGATGTGGCTGTATTATTTATAGTTGTAATAATTAAATTTGATGTTGCTTGATTGAAGGGTAAATTCTTATTCTTATAATTTATATAGGTAGTCAGTCGGAATATTTAATACCAAAATAATAGTAAGTATATAGGTACGTTCAGATTGGTTATCAAAGATTTTTTGTCCAACAACTATTGAAGTGGCTCAAGATCTTTAAGTCCCATAGTAAAACTTGGGTTCATGATAGTATGAAGATATATAAGATCAATGATAGTGCTTTTCCTCCTTTTTTTTCTTTTTTTTTTAATTAAATTCTTTATGATAAAACATGAAAAGCTTTTTATCATTAAAGAAGAATTTTTTTTCCTAATAATCACTCCTAACATTTATTATACGTTCACCTTTTAATTTTTTTTCATGTGTTTGTCACATTTAATCCCTATAATAATTAATATTATATTTTATACTCCAAATGATATTTATATATTCTATTTTTCTTATTAGTTAATCAATTGATTTAATAAAAATAAAATTAAATATACTTTATAAAAAAAATTATATAATTTAAAAGTAGTCATTAAAATTAAAAATATCAAATATTATAAAACATTCTGATTATATAATAGTTTATTATTTTTGACGTTTTATAATCGATAGTTTCAGAAAAAAAAATATTCGATAATGATAAGTTATAAAGTTGTGAGGGGACTTAATAAAATATTTAATATATATATATATATATATATATATATATATATATATATATATATATATATATATATATATATATATATATATATATATATATATATAAAGGATAAATTTGTTAAATTGATTTTTTTCCAAAAATGTTAACCATTGGTGTAATATCTGTTTTTTAGGTATATTTTTCTTTAAAGAATATTCCTTAAAACTTAATTTTTGGGAGTTTTGATTGGTCATGACGTGATGATGGAGAATAACCGCGGCGCGACCACGTCATTAAATTGGATGCATCATCTTGGTTGGTCACGGCGTGGCACATGTATGGCCACGACGCGGTAGCGACTGATGGTTCAAAACTCTAGACCCTAGGATTTGAGCCCTATTTAAGGGCTCTAACCTCAAGGGTTGCCTCATTTGGCAACCTCCACTCTCTAAGATCCCAAAGCCTAGCCTCCATGCTTGATTCTTGAGCTTGTTTTGTGATTTTTATGAAGCTTGAGGAAGAAGGAAGTCCATTGTGGTGCAAGGAAGCAATGAGTGAACTTAGATCCACCATCTACTTCAGAAATCTAAGTCCTTTGAGGTATAAAGTTTGGATCTTGGCTTTCATTTGTTTAGATATAAGTTTATACATCTTTTTAGTGGTTTTAAGTCCCTTTCTTAGAGATATTTGGAGTTGAGCAACTCCTAGACCAATTTAGTGACTAAAATGATTTTTGGACTTGTGAGTTGGAAAAAAGGTGTGCTTTTATGCTCTACCTTGATGTCATTAATGCATCTTAGCTTACTTGGAAGTTAGGTTTTTAGTTTGGGTACTCACGAGATTTGGGAATGGATAAAGTTAGAAACTTTATCCAGTAAGAACATTAAGAGCACCATATCTGAACTTTTGAGCTATAGAAACAACGGGTTAAGTGCTTAATCCATTAAGTTATTTTGGAGTCTGGCCACAGCACGATGATATGCATATCACGACGCGGTGGTGGGTTCATCCACGACTAGGCTGTCTTATAGACACCGCGGCGTGACCATGGTGTTGACCACGACACGGTGACTCATCCCTTGACTTTGACTTTTGACCAAGTTTAACTTTAAGACAAACTTTAGGGTTAGGTCATAGATTGATGATTGACCCTTACAAAATATCTACATGGGTGTTGTGTCGACTTATTTGCGTGTGACGAGCTTTAGGGATATATACTTCCGTCTGTGAGGTGAGTTTTCTAACTATACTTTGTACTATAATATGGATCCTCTATATGATAGGATGTTGGTATGATGTATGGTTCTGTTAGGCAGGTTGATTTGTTATAGTTACATGTGCTTGATTGTTTGGTAGTTTGTTGTTATATGCATATGTCGACATATTGTGGATGGGTTGAGGCAGTCCAACTGTGTGCTGAAGGCCAAGATACCCGGGTGATCTAGCTTTATTTTGTAGGCCCAAAGAGGGCGGTCCAACTTTATGTTGAAGGCCCAGGTGGCGGTCCATCCTTATGTTGTAGGCCTTGGGTGCATGCATTTTATATGTATTGTGTTGTGAGGTATTTTTGAAGAACTCACTAAGCTTTGTCTTACAGTTGTGGATTTGAATGTTTCAGGTACTTCTGAGGATCGAGGCAAAGAAAATATGTGTCTATACATACTATCCTAGAGATTTTATGATTTGAGAGATGTTATGTTATTATACTCTGATGGATCCTATTTTTGTGAAACAATTGTTTTGTGATGTTGACTTTTATGAAAATGGCTACTAATTCTCTTTTTAAAAAATCGAAAATTTTACATCGGTTTTTGGGATGTTACAAGTTGGTATCAGAGCCCTGGTTTGAGGGATTTGGATGAGCATTTGTGTGATTCCAAAATCAAATTAAGGATCTATAAAGTTTTTACAACCATTTTCTAAAAAGTATACTTAAAGGGAGAACTAGGATGCGATGTGTACAGTTAGCCGGAACGCAAATAAGAGTAATCCCTAAAATATCCATACTTGTTATATGAATAATTGTTGATATGTGAATTTCTAGAATTATATGCTAGTAAATAGGTTAGGGATCCTTAGGAATTACATGATAGAATTGTCTGGTTATTGTGATGGCCGGTAGCCTAAGGGATTGCTTTGTTGTGCGAACTGGAATTGCTATTATCGTTGTTAGTGGTTAAGTGTATCCCCTATAGTGGTACATAATTAGGGTTTTATAGCCTTAGAATGCTTGATTTCGCCTTACTTCCTCTTCCTTGTTTGGTTGTGGGCTTAGGGAAGAATCAAATATTTGACTGTCTATTGGATCATATATTATGTACGACTAGCATACGTGAGGTGACTAGCAGTGATGGTGGAGGTTTCGTGTAGCACAGGAGCGCGGTCGAGGGAGTCCTAAAATAAGAAACTAGGAGTTAGTGGTTACTCTTCGGAATGTATAATTGGGCATGTTATCATGTCAAGTTATAGTAGGTCTAGTGGCTTAGAATTTCAAGGCGATTCTTGAGACAAATACGGGTAGGTGCGGAAGGTAGTATGGGCTCGTACTACCGGAAGCAAAGGACCCATACGAATGTCAAGGGGAGCCATAAAATTATAAGGAGTAAGTAGCTGAGTGTATAGTATGTTGACGCTATGAATTGATTCTGATATGTCTCCTATATATTTTTCAGTATGATGATGACGAGGGGTTCAGATTCAGGTGTCAGCGGCCCGGAGAGGCCACAGATGATTAATGATGAGATCCGAAATTTGATTTCCACTCGGGTGACCTTTACGGTCAGGGAGGCGATTATAGAGCTTTTTGGGTCTATTAAAACCACATTATTGATATGTTCGATGAGCGTTATGTTGTTGTCACTGATGTCGTTGCCGCATCGGCCACTACAATTGTCGCTGCTAAAGGACTTCAGGGAGGATGATCGATTTAGTATCGGGAATTCAGTAATACAAAGCCCCTAGTTGACCCGATCGTTTCCATGAGGTGGATCTATGAAGTGAAGGGATTCTTTTACACATGTTATTGTTTGGAGAACCTGAAGGTCACATTTGCTCTGAACCTTCTTCTCTTGGGGCGAAGGAC